TTCCTCGATGATTTTCCTTAGTTCCTCCAGGGAACTTTCTGTGTCCTCCTTGTTTCTGTTTGGGGTTTTCTTAGGCTCTTGTGTAGCTCTATAAACATATCTTCTAAATTCCTTCTCATACAATTCTATTGCCTCCTCTTCCTTCATGTATAATGAAACTTTTGTTTGTAGTTTTGTTTCTAATGCCTTGTCCTGTTTTTTTTTTTTTTTTTTACATTGCCCATTGTTTCCTAGACATTTTGAGGTTGTCTTTAACTGTTGGTTTCGTGTTGATTTGTTTTGTCTTGGTTTTATGGTTTAAGATTTTGAAAAGGTAAAGCTGATGTATTTTATTTTATTATTGATTAAGGTACGCTGGGTCGCTTTGCAGTTTTCTTTGTGATGGTGGAATTGGTGTGTGGAATGTGGATATGGGTTTTCTGTTCGTCGTAAAGAGGGTTTAGGGTTCAAACTGGGAGCTTTTATATTGGCTGAATGTGGTTTCTTCTATTGAATGAGTGAAGTTATTGGTGGAGAAGGTGGGAGCAGAAGAAGGAAAGCTTGCTGTTGCTAGGGTCAGTTTCTAGGGCTTTGAGCAGGTTGCTACTGATGATGTCATACTGTTATTTACAAGCACGTGGCTCAATTTCAGGAAAGATTCCTGTTGTTAGGGTGTCACCACTTTTCACCAGGTTCAGACACATGCAAAGACCCCGTTTCTGAGGCCCCTCAGTGCCAAAATGCCGACCCAAGGCAACTACTCAGGTCTGTGCTCAGCCGTGGATGTTTCTCCAACCCACTTGCCTGCAGAGCTGGCCCAACCTGCCCAGACTGCAGTTGGCTTGGGAGTTTGTCTGTTAGTCGCCCACCTGTGGCGCCAAGGATGCCCGCAGTTTCAGCTGCACTGGAGTCGGGAGAGTGCCTGCTAGTAATCCGTGGTCCCAATATTAGTGATAAAGACAAGCACAGACCTCTTGGTGCCACTTAAGCTGACCCAAGCCTTTGCAGTGACCCACTGGGGTGGGCAGGCTCACCCTCCTGGAGCACTAATGAGCTCTCTGTTTGGGGTGGTGCTGCGTGTGCCGTTTGCACACGACCCAAGTTACTGATAAAATCAGGTGCTGAAGATAGATCCTTGGGGTGTTTGCTGGTGTGTTGGTGTGGTGGCTGGTATGCTGATATGTGGTGTCTTCTGCCTTGACCCAGGGAGGTCTCAGGTAGCCGTTCTCACCTGCCGGTCCCTCCCCAACCCAGGGAAGTCTCTAATGGCCTTTCTTGGCTGCCTGTTCGCTTTCCGCTGGGTAGATCTTCTTTATTTTCTTGCCCTGTGCCTTTCCTCTAACTCTACTCTGTGTTTGGTGCACTCTGATTCAGTGCATTGTTCAGAGCACCAAAATCCCTAATTCAAACTGCTGTACCTTGTTTTTCAAGCACTAAGATGCTTGAGGGAAATAGCGTGGTGATTACTGACTGACGAGACTCCATTTTGAATCTCCAAGTCATTTGTGTTTTTAAGAAGTTTACTTGTTTGTTTACTGGCTGAGAGTCAATAGTGAAGTAATGGAAGATAATCTGGATTTGTTATAAGGAATTAAAAAGCAATGATTTTTGAGATAGTCTTACCATCTGCTGCATACATTCACCAGGTTCCACTGCGCTCACTGTTACAAAAGAGGTTAACAATGAATCTTTTTTGTTCTCTTATGCATTGGTAGCCTTCCCTTTAGATTCTACTTCCATGCTGCCCCAAATTTCTACCTATGTGCCCAATTTTCTGACTTAGGTATTTCAAAGCACATCAAACTCTTTATGTCCAAAATTAAATTCATTATCTTAGTTCCCAAGCCTGTTGTTCTAATACATTTTCCCTTTGTTAATGGCATGTGTAATTCTTACAGTTGTCTCAAGACAGAAATCTACACATCCTTTTTTGCTACCTCTATTTTCCTTCCATCTACATCTAATTTATCATCAAACGTTATCAATCTTACCTCCTAGATAACTTTTGAATCTGTCCATTTTCCTCTACCTCTACCACTGTTCTCCTAATCTAGGCTTCCCTCATCTCTTACCTAGATCACAATAGTTAACTCCTAAAAGACATCTTCTCTTTCTCCTCCAACCTTTCCATTCTCCACATACAAACTTGAGTGATCTTTTTTCAAAATCTGATCACATTTACTGCTTAAAATCATTCAATTGCTTCCTATTAGGATAAAGACTGACAGTTTTAGTACAGCATAGAAGGTTGTTTGGTTTGATCACAACTTGTCTTCTAGCCTACCAGAGTTGTTTTGTATCATGCCCAACAATAGAGGTAGACTCTGAAATTGGGAAAGCATGAGCATGCTAGTGACAGACATGTTTCTTTATGCCATCCTTTCAACTCAAATATTCAGTATAGAAACCACACTCTAACTTGTCTATCCTATGTAGTTACTTTTTAAAAAATTTTTTATTGTGATTTGGATGAAAGTTTACAGAGCAAATTCATTTTCTATACAGTAGTTCATACACATTTTTTTGATGACACTGACTGCAATCCCCACAATATAACATCTCCCTTCCTACTTCCTCCCTATATTTATCTCTTCCCTGTGTTCTTCTTTCCTATGCATTCTTGCCCCCTGAGCTATCTCCCCGTGCAAATACTGCCCTTCTGTTCTCCCATGATTGGTCATTCTAAGGAGTGTTTCTACCTGGTGTAAATGTTCAGCCTATATGCCTGTCTTTTGTTTGGCTAGAAGTAACAGGAGTGAGTTCAATTCAAGACTTGAAGGGTAACTAGGGGCCATAATCTTGGGGGTTTCCAGGCTCTATCAGACCAGTAAGCCTGGTCTTTTTTATGATTTTGAGTTTTGTTCCACATTGTTCTCCCACTCTATCCAGGATCTCCTGTACTGATCCCTTTCCAAGTAGTTGACAGTGGTAGCTGGGCACAATCTAGTTTTTCTAGTCTCGTTTTCATGAGGTTTGCATGGTCCCTTGGACTTATTGTTTCCATACATCTTTGGTTTTCTTCATTCTTCTTTGCTCTGGATGAGGAGAGGCAAATTGTTGCATTAGATGGCCAATTGCCAGCTTTTAAGACACCAGTCACTCTTCATCAAAATAGGATGTAGAACAATGTTTTTATGTAGTATGTTACACCAATTGGGCTTGATGTCCCCTATGACCATGGTTCTGAGCCCACAGATCCAACAACTTGCTCCATAAAGGTGCTTGACTGTGGCTAAGAGGTTATCATAACTTTGCCCTCTGTTCTATTTATATGGACATTCTTACAGCACATGTAAATACATATGTACAAATGCCGTCTGCCAATCTTACATATAAAACCAAACTCACTGCCATCGAGTCGGATCTGACTCATAGAGACCCCTCCTTGGGTTTCCAAGGCAGTATCACTATGGGAGTAGACTGCCCAACCTTCCTTCTGAGGAGTGTGGCTGGTGGGTTTGAACTGCCAGCCTTGTGGTTAGCAGTCAAATGCCTTAGGCACTATGCCACCAGAGCTGTTGCTGTTGTTATGTGCCATCGAGTCGGCTCCGACTCATAGCGACCCCTCTTTGGGTTTCCAAGGCAGTATCACTATGGAAGTAGATTGCCCAACCTTCCTTCCGAGGAGTGGCTGATGGCTTTGAAATGACAGCCTTCTGGTTAACAGTCATGTGTCTTAGGCACTATGCTAACAGAGGCACCAGAGAATCATGGGTATATTCCCTTTTGCCTAGACATACCTGATCATTCAGCCTATCTACTCATCTATTTACCCATAAATTAATGTTTGTTATCACTGGTAACACAGTATTGTATATGTAAAAGGGTTTATCTTTGTTGTCTGTACTGTAGGTACTTTTTTTTTTCATATTAAACCTACACTCTAAATTTTTATTCTATTGTAACAATAGTTATTTGCATAGCGTTTTTAGGGTTGGCCCATTCATGTTCCTGAAGAAAGCTAGTATTCTCAGAAGTCCTTATGAATTCTTTTATACTCAGTTACTATCAGTGTTGTTGTTAGGTGCCATTGAGTCAGCTCTGACTCATAGCCACCCTATGTACAACAGAATGAAACATTGCTCAGTCAGGCACCATCCTCACAATCCTTGCTATACTTGATCCTTGCTATACCTTGCTTTGCGCCTTTGGGTCAATCCATCTAACAGTTGTTGTTGTTGTTATTTGCTGTCGAGTCGGCCCTGACTCATAGCGACCCCTCCTTGGGTTTCCGAGGCAGTATCACTACAGAAGTAGATTGCCCAATCTTCCAGGAGTTGCTGGTGGGTTTGAACCACCAGCCTTCTGGTTAGCAGTCAAGGCCTTAGGCATTATGCTACCAGAGCTCCTATGTATCTAGCACATAGTAAATATTTGTTTAATGAGTGACTGGATAGATGAATCAGTGAATCAGTCTGGTTAAACACATTGGTCTTACAGTTTGTTGAACTCATTGGGTCACTGAAGCACCTGCATATATTCTGTTTGTTCTGCCTCAAATATTTCCTTTATCATCTAGTTACCTTTCATTGGAATACAGCCTCCCCTCTTCCACATCTTCAGCTAAATCATAACTTTCTCAGGGAAACCTTTTCAGATCTTTCTGTCAATTTTACCTCCTATGAGGACATAAAACACCATAAAACTCTCCTTATAGTATATCTTATGGTTGTATTTTACACGTGTTTGGTTAGTACTTTAATGTATCGTCGTGAGACTATATCCCCTCGAAGATAGGTTCTTGACTTTACTCACCATTGTAACCCAATTTCCTAGGGTTGGAGCTCAATAAATATTAGATGAATGAATAGAAAATGATTTCCTTCTCAGCTTGCATCATAAGAAGACATTTCTTTTCCTCTTCTTTTTTTTTCTTTGTTTTGTTATTGATTTTGTAACTGATTTTTATTATGCCTTGGGTAGAAAGAATCTTCCCCATGAAACAAAAGGAATGACTTTAAACTGATGTGAAAATATTTAAATATTACCATTAGGGTGACTATTTCTCTTTCTTTTTTTAGGGAGATGAGGACCATATTGTTAGTTTATGCTATGAGACTATTCATGACAGCCACTCAGTATTACTTTTCTGTCCATCAAAGAAATGGTGTGAGAAGCTGGCAGATATTATTGCCCGGGAGTTTTATAATCTACACCATCAAGCTGACAGTAAGTTATAGATGGAAATGAATGCCTCCATACTTAGTGCCTTTGCTTGAAGGTAATGTTAGTATTCATCTTAGCAAATCATGGCTCTGTTTCATCATTGCCATCACCTGCCCACTCGGTACTCCTTTATAAAACTATGTTTTTGTGACTCTAATCTTCTTGTCCTCATGATAGACAATGTCTACATTGTCTAATCATTTTGAGATGTTTAGAATATTGAATTTATATAGTTAAATACTAAGGATCTTCATTTGGGATTGATGAGCTTTTGAGCCCTTGAACTGTATGCAAAACTTCATGTATACTCATTTTTCTGGGAGAAGGGACCATAGTGTCTTCATATTTCTAAAGAAAGGTATGAACTCTTTAAAAAGAATCATACACACACACATATACATATATATGTACACATACATGTATATGCATATGCTCACATATGTATTTTAAAATCTTTCTTATGGTATAATTTTTCAAAAATTTATTTATTTTTAACTTTTATTGTGGTAAACACATACACAACAAGACATTTGTCAACATAACAACTTCCCCATTTATAACTCAGGGACACTGATGACATTTTTATGTTGTGCTACCATTATTGCTATCCTTTTCCAAAATATTCTGCCACCATTAGCATAAACTCAATGCTTGCTCTTTCCCCCTCCCTCCTACACCTGGTAACCACTAAACCACTGATAATCTTTCTCTCTCTCTCTCTCTGTATGTATGTATGTGTGTGTGTGTATAAATATAATAATAATAATAATAGTTATTATTATTATTTTTTTTTCAACCTATCTAGAAATTTAGCCTCCCCTCCCCTCCCATCTCTGGTCTGGTAACCAACAAAGAAGGTTTCCTTCCATGTATAAACTTTTCCTTGACTTTATAATAGTTGACTAATACAATATTTGTCCTTCTATGATTGATTTATTTCACTCATTATAATGTCCTCAAAGTTCATCCACATTATGCTGTGTTTTGCACATTCTACATTATTTTTTCAGGTTACATCAACAAGTGTGAATTTTTTGATGTCATTTTATTATGTGTTTTTTTGTGGTGTTACTGATCTCTTTGTTCCATATAGTTTTCTGTGTTGAGCTCATTTTGTTTATGAGTCATGTTATCATCTCCTTCATTGCTATTTTTTTTTTTGTTATGTGCCATCAAGTTGGACCCAACTCACAGCAACCTCTCCTTGGGTTTCTGAGGCAATATCACTACGGAAGTAGTTTGCCGCATCTTCCTTCTGAGGAGTAGCTGGTGGGTTTGAACTGCCAGCCTTCTGGTTAGCTGCCAAGTGCCTTAGGCACTATGCTACCAGAGCTCCTATGCTATTTTAGTTTTGCTAAGTATTTATGCTTGTTGTCTTTGTTATTTTGATGTGAAGTTTTTTTTTTTTTTTTCCTTTGAGAGTTACCTTGTAATTTATGATTTTCTTCCCAAGTTCAAGACAGTTTATTCTATCTTGCAATTGTCTTGACTTCCTTACCACTTAGAAGTTCTGTAACTACACTACTTATTCCCTGTTTTGGGTTTGTAGTTGCCCTCAGTTACCAATTGAGGTCTCTGGTTCCCTGTTTAAAATCTTGTAGGCTTATTTTACTTTGATACTTCTATAACTGGGTTGGTTTCTGGGTTATGTCATCGTGTGTGGTAATCACAAGTTGTTGTTTGCTGTTGTTGGTGTTCTGTTCAAAGGACTCCCTCTAGCATCTTTTGTAAAGTTGGTCTGGTTTTAACAAATTCCTTTACTTTCTGCTTTCCTGGAAATCTCCTAATTTCACCCTCATGTTTGATAGGAAATTTTCTGGGTGTATAATTCTTGGTTGGAAAGTTTTTTCTTTCAGGGTTTTATATACCATCCCATTGCCTTCTCACTTGCATGGTTTCTGCTAAGAAATCAGGCTTAGTCGTATTGGTTGCCCTTTGTAGGTAACTTTTTGTTTTTCCTGTGCTGCTTTCAGGATTGTTTCTTTGTCTTTGGTTTTGGTGAGTTTGATGATGATATGTCTTGGTGATTTTCTTTTGGGGTCTCTCCTGTTTGAGGTTTCTTGGACTTCTTGAATCGATGTATTCTTGTCTTTCATCCTATTAGGAAAGTTCTCTTCCAACAAAACTTTGACAATTTTCTCTGTGGTTTTGTCTGTCTCTTCCTGTTCTGGAATTCCTATTACACATAACTTTTTCCTCTTGATGGTATCCCATATGAATCTTAGAGTTTCTTCATTATGTTTTGATTTTTGTCTGATTGATCCCTTAACAAAGTAGTATTGAGGTATTTGTCTTCAATCTCATTAATTCTGTTTTCCATTGATTCAATTCTACTCCTTTGTCCATCCAATGTGTTACCTGTTTCTGAAATCTTAGTATTAATCTTCTGGACTTCTGTTTGTTGTTTTTGTATAGTTTCTAATTTTTAGTTTATTTTACCAATTTGTTCTTGTATTGTTTTCCTAAATTGTTCTGGAGTTTTGTATGTGTTTTCCTTGATCTTGTCAGTGTTTTCCTTGAGCTGTCTCTCAGTCCACTGAAGGTACCCAAATATATTTGTTTTGAATTCCTTATCAGGGAGTTCCAATGCTGCTTCTCAGGGATGTTTTCTGGGTTTGTATCCTGGTCCCTTTTTTCTACTACTTTTTCTTGTTTTTGTAAGGACTGTGATAGTCTTGTCTCTTGAGGTATAATGTATATATTTAAATTATACTCATTTAAATATATCATTTGATGATTTAGAACAAATCTGTATACCTGTTTAATCACCACTGCAATCAAGATAAAGAGCATCCAAAGAACATTCCACCATCCCCAAATATTATCATCTGCTTTTTTTTAACCATCAATCTCTGCCCTCCATTCCCAGCCCAGGCAACCATGATCTGCTGTCACTCTGGATTAGTTGTGCCTTTTCTGAGAATTTAATGTAAATGAACTAGTACAGTATGTACTCTTTTGTGTTTGGTTTCTTTCACTCAGCATAATATTTTGAGATCCATCTATGTTGTTATGTTTATTGATAATTTGTTCCTATTGCTGAGTATTGATCCATTATATAGCTATAACTATTAATATATATTGTCACTGATTTTAGGACAAACACTATTTCCTTATACCACTTTTATTAGTTTATGATCCTTTGGCCCTCAAGAAAAATTTAAAGGAAGACAGAGACTAGTTCTAGTCAAAGATTATTAAGATATTTTTATTACTTCATTATACCCTGTGGCATCATGAGGTGATATATATTATAAGCCTAGCTCTAACAAATAAATTTTGCCAGCAGTTTATATAGGGTAGGCCCTGTTCCAACATTATGATCTCTTTTCCTGTTCTCTCTTAATTAATGCTTTCTGTATTGTGACAACATCTTTAAGATGTACCATGGTATCTTATATTCCTTAATTCCCAGGAAGGAGCTCTGTCATTATTCTTTTCTTTTCTTGAGGTCCTTTTATCTTCTTTTATAGTAGTAGGTCCCAAATTCTCCTCCTTAGAGAAAGCCTAGTCTATGATGACATTTTCACTAGAAAAATAAAGGCAAGTCAGCAAATGTTTCACAAAACTGAAGTTAACATCCTGAAATTGTCCCTTCTAAATTTTTTGAGGGAGCTCTGGTAGTGTAGTGCCTAAGACACTTGACTGCTAACCAGAGGGCTGGTGGTTCAAACCCACTAGCCACTTCTCAGAAGGAAGGTTGGGCAATCTACTTCTGTAGTGATACCACCTTGGAAACTCAAGGAGGGATTACTATGAGTTGGGTCCGACTCGATGGCATAACAACACAACAACAAATTTTTTGATATTAAAATGATGTTTCTTTTGATATTTGAAAATACTGAGGAAGTCATCCTGGTTAAGGATCTTTGGGGAAAATTGAGAAACAAGGAGTCACATTTTGAAAGGCTTTGCTATTTGGCTAAGGAGGGTGAACATTTATCCTACAGGTGAAGTGTAAGTGTTTTAAACTGTGAAGTCATGCTTAGAAATTCTTTGGTTCTGAATCTATGTAATGACCCTAGACTGAAGCTTATTCTTCCTAGCTCTCTCTAGTTTTACCTTGGATCCATGGTGAACTTCCTGGCTACCTAAAAGAGAAGGTTGTTTTTGTTTATTTGTTGTTAGCTTGTCAGTTCCTACTCTTGACCTAGGTTGAGCTGGACCCCTTATCTTGCTCCCTTGACTTTAAGCAATTGGTTGGATTCAACCTCTAGGATCAGAGATCACAGGTCTGTTGCTTTGGCTGTCCTTTGACTCCAAGACCTGTGTGGGCAGCTTTTCTATTTTTCTATTTCTTACTTGATTTGAACAGGGTGTTAGCACATACAGTTTCCTGGAGTCACCCACAGTTTCTTCTGTTTTTCAAAAATCTCTTATTAACACATACAGCTCAGCTTCTTACTGACAAAGAGATGCCACACTCAGATATTTCTAAAGTGTATCAGTGAAGTTTTATGATGATTAATGAAAGGCTGAGGGATTTTCCTCCCTTTGAATCAGCCAATGCAAATATAGTGTATATTGAAGATATATTATTGGCTATAATATATATTGAAGATATATTATTGGCATTGGGATATATTATTTATATACAGTGAAAATTGTGAGAGCTAGAACTCGATGGGGTTGCCTTGTTTTCTGCTTTTGATAGGGGGTGGTCTTACCACTTCTCTATGGCTTGTGTTAGTGGAAAATATTTGAGTTTTCCTTCTCTGACAGATTTCTACCTTACACAGGTTTGACAGGTTTTACTGTATATATAATAACATCAGAATAAACATTTGAATATATTCTAAGACACTGGGTTAACTATTATAGTTTACATCAAGAGATATAATATTATCCTTGCCCATAAAGAGTTTATGGTCTGTTTCAATTTTCCTCAACTTTAAGCTGTCTGTGAATAAGAAAAAAAAATTTCTTATTCAGTAGTTCTTGTGTGGGAGGGCTTGAGATTCTGCATTTCTAACAAGCTCCTAGATGCTGCTTCTGGTTGGTGGGACAGAATTTGAGCAGGGGTCTATTTGATGTCAGGCTTTGAATGGTAATCAGTACTTGTAGTCCTCTCCTGTCAACACCTGATTCCTTCATTCCCTCTTGTAGACTTGGTCTAGTATCTCTCAACCTTTGCTACACAGTAGAATCATTTGTGGAGCTTTAAAATACCTGACACCCAGGTTATACTCCATACCAATTACATCAGAATATCTGGAATAGGAATCAGGCCTTGGTGTTTTTTAAAGACCTTCAAAACCAAAACTAACAAACCTGTTGCCATGGAGTCAATTTCTACTTGTGGCAACCAGGTGATTATAATATTCAGTGGTTTCAGAACCATTGCCCTAATATTAGCTGTGCTACGACTTAGGCAAATACTACTTAAAGGGTTCCAACGAGGGGTAAAATTGTTGATGATTTTTTTGTGACAGAAATGGTAAAACCACCTGAACTTCCATCAGTGATTCTGGACCAAAAGGGCCTCCTGGAAGTGATGGATCAGTTAAAACATTTGCCTTCAGGACTGGACTCTGTATTACGAAAAACCATCCCATGGGGAGTAGCATTTCATCATGCAGGTATTCCATATTTATAATCTGCTATTAAAAAGCCGTCTCCACAATAGCCTCACAATTTCTTCATTTTTATATTTGTATGCATTTGATTTCTTGTTAATGACAATGAATATCCTTACCTTTTATTTTAAGAAATTGAGTAATTAAGATTAAACAAGAATAAAACAAACATGCTGAAGTATAGTTATCCATATAGTATATAAATACTAGACATGAGTTTTTTGGATTATTGGGAAAGTGAATACTAAAATTGTTACTGTTCTATACTTTGTTTCCTAAAATTAAATTGGTACTTGCTATCCTTAATTTTATGCAACACTGGTTGTCTCCTTTTATTGTAAGGGGTATTGAAATATTCTCATAAATATTTAAGTAGGAAATTAATTTTAGATATTATTACATTTTGAGAGGGTGATAAATTTAAAAAAATCAAATGGATAGGTTGTCAAAATTGCAAAAATTTGACAGTCCATAAATTAAAGAACTTCTTGTAGGCAGTGACCTGTCCATGATCACACGTGCTAAGATATGATTAAAAATATATAGTTTCTAAGGTGAAGAATTTAACCCTGTCAGTTTATTAAAAAATTTTAATAGATTGAATGAAGTTCCCCAAAATTATGTGCTTTAAATCCTAACCTCTATGCCTGTGGTTAGTCTTTTTGGGAATGGGCTGTCTTTGTTATGGTAATGAGGCAAGGTTAGTGTAGGGTGTATCTTGAGTCAGTCACTTTTGAGATACAAATGAGATTAAACAAGGGAGCAGAGCAGAGATGGGAAAGAGAGATGCTAGGTCATGTGAAGATTACCCAGGATCAGAAGCTCAGAAGAGACAAGGATCTTCCTCCAGAGCCGACAGAGAGAGAAAGCTTTCCCTTAGAACAAGTGCTCTGAATTTGGACAGTTAGCCTCCTAAACTGTGAGGAAATAAATTTCTATTTGTTAAGGCCATCCACTTGTGGCATTTCTGTTATAGCAGCACTAGATAACCAAGATCAATACAAAAGAATATTTATATTGCGTGCCTAATTTATGATGTGTACTAATAAAATGAACACCAGTGTTCTACTATTTAATTTATAAATTAGAGGTAAGTCCTTTTGGTTTTTTAATAAAAAAAGCCAGATGAATATATATTCTATACACTATTTTTCATTTACTCATGTTTTTATTCAACACACATTTATTTATGTAAAAAGTGTGTCTGACTACTGTGTTGGATAGACCCTGAAGATATAGTGATGAATAAGACATGTCCCTACCCTCAAAGAGTTCATTGTCTAGGAAAGGGACCAACAAACTACAGTCTGCTGGTCAAATCCAGCTCACCACCTAGTTTTGAAAGTAAAGTTTTATTGGAATTCACTCATGACCATTTGTTCTGTGAACACTTTCATGTCACAAAGGCAGAGTTGAACAGCTGGAAAAGAGACCATCTGGCCCACAAACCCTATAAGATTTATTATTACCTGGCCCTTTATAGAAAAAGTTTGCAGACCTCTGGTTTGGAAGGTGAGACAGTGGTGTACTAGAGTTGGCCAATTACAGTCTTGAAGAGATACACTCTTGATGACTTCTTTATTTACAGTCTTAAGCCAAAACCAAACTCACTGCTGTAGAGTTGGATCTGACTCATAGCGACCCCTCCTGGGTTTCCAAGGTGGTATCACTACAGAAATAGATTGCCCAACCTTCCTTCCGAGGAATGGCTGGTGGATTTGAAACACCAGCCTCTGGTTAGCAGTCAAATGCCTTAGGCATAAGCCACCAGAGCTCCCTCGTGGCTTTATAAACATCTTTGTCTCAGATCCATTTGTTAGTGATCAAGTAAAATATTTTTACAAATAAATATGTTACTGCAACCTACTTTTTTTTTTAAGGTCTTACTTTTGAAGAGAGGGATATCATTGAAGGAGCCTTCCGTCAAGGCATCATTCGAGTCTTAGCTGCAACTTCTACTCTTTCATCTGGGGTGAATTTACCTGCACGCCGTGTGATTATCAGGACTCCTATATTTAGTGGTCAATCTCTAGATATTCTTACTTACAAACAGATGGTTGGTCGTGCTGGAAGGAAAGGAGTTGACACAGTAGGTAAGTAAATTGAAATTTAATTGTAATAGCATGGTCAACAATCAGTGTCATTTTACTTGAAATTTGCCTATCAACCATTTCTCATTGTGCTTCTTTATTGTGTCTTCTTTTTGGATTCACTCAATATGTATGATGAATATAAGTTATAATTCTCTGCTATCATCAGAAAATTTTCTACTTGTATTACTTACAAGTAGAATCAAGATTTTCTTTTGTGTTAACTATTATATGTATTTTGTGACATGATTCAGTGTTATTTTAGTCAAGTTGACTTTGTAATACATTGGCTGGAAGATGATAACCAATGACACCAAGTTTATAGTCCCTTGTCTTTATCATATCACGATTCTCAGTCAATTTGGCAGATAGTTTTAGGAATCTGTATCTTCTCTCTGCCTGGAATTTTAGTATACTCTACTATAATGTTATTTTTCTTTTTCTTTAATGCAAATGATATTCATTTTGTTTTTGGAACATCTTACTTATCTACTTTCTTTCCTCTACTGTTACATTCAACAAACATTCAACAAACCATTTGTTGAGATATTTCAACAAACGGATGCCCCATTGGAGGCACTCACTTGGTTATGCCAAGATATTTGGAAGACAGCTACCTGGCCAACTGTCTGGAAGAGATCCATA